CCCCACCGGTAGACTACGAGTAGTCCCCATTTTTCCTCGGGGATAGTAGACCAGGTGAAACGCAAGCGCGCGTGAAAATCACCCCACGCGAGAAAGGCGAGACGCGGTTGGGGAGAGAGATATCATTTTTCTCTCTCACCACCGCGTCTCGCCTTTCTCGCGTGGGGTGATTTTCACGCGCGCTTCCGTTTCGCCTGGGGTCCCATGGGAAGGGGAGAAGGTCTACCCAACCGGGTCTCTGACAAGTCTCCGACAGGGGTCCGACAAGTATTTTTCCGCGCTTTCCCAGGTCCCTTTCAATGTGAAATCAAGATGGCGGCCACCAAATCGTGAACAGTCCATGTACTTCAAAACCTCTCTTGTTGATTTCATCTTTTCTTACCTGTGTGATTTAATCAACACGGAAATATCTTGTTACTTAAGGTGAGAAAGCTTTTAATATGTTATTTTTACGTCCAGTTATCAAAATTTAGTACCTAGTGGCTCTTCGTAACGCGTGTACGTGGTACTTCAGAGATGCTTTCAGACTTGAAAAACCAACAAAGGCAAACAATGTGAGATTCTGAACCTAGGGCTAGGAATGGGTAAAAGTCGTGAGGAATATCAGTGAGTTTTTCCTTTAGTGAATTAGCTCTCTACAAGTTCGCCCCGTTCATCTTCTTTTAGCTTTAGGTTCAATTTGAATTTCAGCAATTTTGTTATACTTTCCTCCACATTCTTGTCACAACAAGAACGCGCTTACAGCGGCATTCAGCTCTCGCCTACTTGGAGATTAGATCGAGAAATGAGGAGGCGATTAATTCTACAAGAAACATGATTTACTCGCTAAAGGTTTTTTACCTCGTACTTTATCGACATCGATAAATTGATTTAGTACGCGTGTTAGCCATGACTAAAAATACCTCTGCGGTAGCAGGTTACACACCTGTTCAAGGGCCTCGATTCCAGAGAAATTATATCATTGCCAGGTATCGAAAAAGTGATTTACACGGCATGTCATTTCAATCATCGCCAAAAATAAATCACATGCTCATCACAAGACTCATTTGCATACAGTTAAAGTTTACAACACGCGACCATCGCAATTTTCCTAATAATTTAAGATTCTAATTTTTTTTGCCACTCAGTAGTGTTCACTTGCTCCAAAGTAATCAATGCTTTCAAGCGATAGAATTCGTGGACTCACACGTTTCAGAAAAGCTCTAAATTTAATCTTCCTAAGCTTTCTTTGCAAAACATGCCTGGCTTCGATCATGCAGCAATTCTTAGTCCCAGTTTCCATGGTCTCCACAAGGAATGCCTGGCACAATGACCTGCCTTTTGTCCTAAAATACGACCAAAACTTCTGGGGGCTACTTCCAGAAAAATTAGGAGGGGTGTGCGGCGCGCTTCCTGAAACCCTTACCCTATTTCAGACCAAAATCTGTGATTTTCCCTACCCTATTTCAGACCTGATGAAAAATTTGATACCCTATTTCAGACCTGAAATAGGGTGACCGGAGCATGTGACAAGCTGTTACGGCACGTACATGGTAGTAGGCGTAAACATTAAAAGGGAAATGGTCTTATCGCCAAATGATGAAGAAGTAGCTAATTCTTCTCAAAAACATACCCAATTCAAGACTGGAGTGCACAGACCATACCCTATTTCAGACCAAAATGGCTAAAAAAAACATACCCTTTGGCGCAGCACATACCTATATAGCTTATATAAGGGACTACCCCCCTGGGGCGAAAAACGTGTTGCAGATTGTCACATGTAGTCTCGCTGCTTACGCAAGCGAGACTAATTATTAGTTTGTTAATATTTAGTTACACCTTTCTGGCTAACTCTTTTTATAAGTTCAGCACTTTTCCATCTTGTATTTCATGTTTGACAATGGTCTTGAAATAAGAACCGAAATATTACATTTATCTATTTTGTGTCAATTCTTGCTTATACTTATATTTTAAGTTAGCAAGATGTTTGTCGGAGTTGTTTTTGTATTATATTTCCAAGCCAATTCACAGGTACATGAGAAATTTCTGCCATTTGACTGGCGTAGAGCAGTGGTATTTCAGCTTAATTTGAAATACCTACATGTGGAAATTACAAATATTTTGCGGGTAGTAGTATAAACAGATAATAGCATGATTTGTCTGTTATATTTGGCATAAATACCACTCATGATATTTCAGAATTGCCTCAAATTTCAAAATATCACTCGTGGTTATTATACCAAATATCACATGCAAATCATGCTATTAGCTATACAAATGTCTTTCGAAGTAAGTAAATTTTATTGCAGGTCGGCAGCAATATTATAATATTGATATTTGTTATAAACCCTTATTGAATAAAATGCAAAAAACAGGAGAGGTTGGGACAAGTCAAAGGAATAGGAGGCAGAGAGGGAGAAGAGAAATTTGAGTAAAACTCTTGCCCTTTGGGTTTTGCTGAAGATAGGTTACCAAGAGTAGTTGTGAAAGGATACCATTCCCCTTTCAGGAAAATTTTTTTTTGTGAGAAGTGCTGCTTGATCCCTAGACAATGAGAAAATATCACACACAGGAGCCTCACAAAGAAACTATATATGCTATATACAATTTATCCCCCAAGAAAAATTACTTGTGTATTATAATATTGCTCAATACATGAGGTCTGGTCACAGGAACTGCAGTGATANTTTGGCATAAATACCACTCATGATATTTCAGAATTGCCTCAAATTTCAAAATATCACTCGTGGTTATTATACCAAATATCACATGCAAATCATGCTATTAGCTATACAAATGTCTTTCGAAGTAAGTAAATTTTATTGCAGGTCGGCGGCAATATTATAATATTGATATTTGTTATAAACCCTTATTGAATAAAATGCAAAAAACAGGAGAGGTTGGGACAAGTCAAAGGAATAGGAGGCTGAGAGGGAGAAGAGAAATTTGAGTAAAACTCTTGCCCTTTGGGTTTTGCTGAAGATAGGTTACCAAGAGTAGTTGTGAAAGGATACCATTCCCCTTTCAGGAAAATTTTTTTTTGTGAGAAGTGCTGCTTGATCCCTAGACAATGAGAAAATATCACACACAGGAGCCTCACAAAGAAACTATATATGCTATATACAATTTATCCCCCAAGAAAAATTACTTGTGTATTATAATATTGCTCAATACATGAGGTCTGGTCACAGGAACTGCAGTGATACTGGACAAGAAATGCCTCTCTTTTAGGACTGAATTATACTTGCTTTTATCTATGTTCAGTGAGAATTGTCTCTGGTCCAATCTTTAGGATTTTTTAAAGACGCCATACACAGCGACGGAAAGAAAACATAATGTAAGCCTTGCCAACCTAATACGATGTTGCCCTTTCACTCAGGGTCACTTTGGCATGTTTTGCTTTTTGGTAGTCTTTATTTTATGGTTTTTAAAAACAGGTACACCCACTCTCTTATCATTCCCTAATATTCGGTAGGATCTAGCACCATAAAAAAAGCTAAACGCAACGGTTCTTTGTTCAAATTTTTTGTCGAACAATTCGGGAATCCTTCCAATACTTCCAAGTAGCGAAAGTCTCTAATTAGATCTTTCTTTTCTCAAGGTTTTTAATCGAAGTGCTTTGCTGTTGACTTTTAACTTTCTGGAGAAATCTGGCCCTTAGTATCGTTTCAACTGCACGTATTTAAAAAGTGCGGGAAAATCCGGTGTTGCTAGGCTCCCCCGCAGTATAAAATTAGGCAATTTTAATGCTACCCTGCAAAATGAGCAAATTATTATGGTTATTGCTCCCTAATAAAATTTGTTTGCTATCTTCTTCATAGATCTACAGGTGCATTTTTTGTATATGAGTAAAGACATTAAGTTATGACCTCAGCCTATAGTTGACCTAAAACAGCAATATTTTATTCAGTTCAACCCTATTTCAACAGTATATATTTTTTATCTATTAGCCCTGCATATTTTTCTTGGTTTTTACCTTTTAGACTTTTTGTAATATTTTTCCTTAAGTACTTTAATAACAGGACTCCCTTTGATAACAGTGTTTATTACACTGACAGGGTTATCCATACAGGGTTATTTTTTTCAACCGCCACCCGGTTAGCTCAGTTGGATAAACGCCGGTCTGCCGAGCGGGAGGCCGCTGGTTCAAGTCCTGGCCGGACCAACACTCAGGGTCTTTGAATAACTGAGGAGAAAGTGCTGCCTTTGTGAAGACATCTGCAAATGGTTAGACTTTCTAGTCTTCTCGGATAAGGACGATAAACTGTAGGCCCCGTCTCACAACCCTTACATATATAAATTCTGAGGGACATTAAAGAACCCACACACAGTTCGTAAAGAGTAGGGGACGTAGTCCCCGGTGTGGTGGTCTATCTCTTATGGGGGGAGGGACTGTTACGGGCCCGCAGTAATTGGCGTCATTCTGTTGTGGTGACTCTGCCAATAATTGGCGAATCTAATAAAATAAAATAAAATCTTGTAGAAACATTATTATTATTATTATATCCTTGTCAATGTGTGTGCATCATGGGCACAGCAAGAATTGACTGATATTATTGATATTAACATATTCTGGAACAAATGCTTTTGCACAGCCATTGTGGTTTTTAAAAGCAAGATTGCATTCACTTTTCTTTCGAAACAAAGGTAACATCTACAGTAGTAAACTGTTTAATAAATCAAACCTGCCTTTGTTTGTATTACATTGTGTCATAAACATTTTCCCTTCCATAATATCTAAAACATTTTCCCCGTTAACACAAAAAATGTTCAGTGTTGAACTAACAGTATTACAGGTCTTTTCCTATTATCTAGGGGACCATGTCAAATACTTGTGTGAGGTCTGGTGTCCCATTTTATTTTTGAGGATGTTCTTTCAAATTTTCTAATATAGCTGTAGGATATGTCTTAAAACAGCGTGTTTAACTTCCTGCAAAGTTTAAAACATGATTCCTTTGACTACATTTATTATTTATTGATAGGGAATTTAACAAGAGGACGATACCAGAAGCACTAGCCAAATGTCTTTTCCATGTAAACAGTGTGGCAAGTGTTTTAGTGAAGTGGGACACCTAAGAAGTCATGAAAGAGTTCACACTGAGGAAAAGACTTACAAATGTAAACATTGTGACAAATGTTTTAGTGGTACAGGACATCTGATAGAACATGAACGAGTCCACACTGGGGAGAAGCCTTATGAATGTAAACAGTGTGGCAAGTGTTTTAGTGTAGCAGGAAATCTTACGAGACATAAAAAAGTCCACACTGTGGAAAAGCCTTACCAATGTAAGCAGTGTGACAAATGTTTTAGTGATACAGGACACCTAAGCAGACATGAACGTCTTCACACTGGGGGAAAGCCTTACGAATGTAAACAATGTGAGAAGTGTTTTAGCCAAGTTGCAAGTCTAAGGAGTCATGAAAGAGTTCACACTGGGGAAAAACCTTATGAATGTACACTATGTGGCAAGTGGTTTGGTCAAAGAGGAAACCTAAGGATTCATGAAAGAGTTCACACTGGGGAAAAGCCTTATGAATGTAAACAGTGTCACAAATGTTTTAGTGAAGCAGGACGCCTAAAGAGACATGAAAGAATTCACACTGGGGAAAAGCCTTATCAATGTAAACAGTGTGACAAGTGTTTTAGCCAGGTATCAAGCCTAAGGAGACATGAAAGAGTTCACACTGGGGAAAAACCTTATGAATGTAATCATTGTCACAAATGTTTTAGTGAAGCAGGACACCTAAGGAGACATGAAAGGATTCACACTGAGNCAATGTAAACAGTGTGACAAGTGTTTTAGCCAGGTATCAAGCCTAAGGAGACATGAAAGAGTTCACACTGGGGAAAAACCTTATGAATGTAATCATTGTCACAAATGTTTTAGTGAAGCAGGACACCTAAGGAGACATGAAAGGATTCACACTGAGGAAAAGCCTTACAAATGTAAACATTGTGACAAGTGTTTTTGCCAGTTAGAAAGCTTAAGGAGTCATGAAAGAGTTCACACTGGGGAAAAGCCATATGAATGTAAACAGTGTGGCAAGTGCTTTACTCACGTATCGAACCTAAGGACGCATGAAAGAGCTCACAGTGGGAAAAAGCCTTACAAATGTAAACAGTGTTGCAACTGTTATAGCAAGGTAGGAAACCTAAGGAAGCATGAACGAGTTCACACTGTAGAATCTTTTGTATGAAATAGACTGGCAAGTGTTATCGCAAAGCAGAATACTTAAATTAATGTAAACAGTGTGACAAGTTTTTTAGTCAATTAGGAAACCTAAGAACTCATAAAAGAGTTAAAACTGGGGAGAAACCTTGTGAATTAAACAATGTGGCACATGTTTTAGCCAAGCAGAAAACCTAATTTTCATGAAAGAGTTCACAGTGGGGAAAAGCCTTATGAATGTAAACAGTGTTGCAAGTATTTTAGTCAAACAGGAAGCCTAAGGATTTTTGAAAGAGTTCACACCGGTGAAAAGCCTGGCATGTGAATGTAAACAGTGTGGCAAGTGTTTTAGCTAAGCAGGAAACCAGAGCCTGAGGAAACACGAACGAGTTTACATTGGAGAGACGCCCCCTTAACATAAACAGTGTGGCGAGTGTTTTATCCAAATCCAAAACTCAAATGATTGGAAAAGTGTTCATACCGAGGAATAGCCTTTAACAGGAATAAGAAATTTATAGCAAGTGTTTTACAGAAATATTTTCACAGAATTGGAAGTCTGTCATATCCTTTGGCTGAAGAAGTTGATGTTAGTGTAAAACGATTTACAAACAAAGCACTTGTACTGAAAGAGATTGGCAACAATAGTGTAAAGGGCTGACGATCACTCATTGCAAAACGCACCTGTTGGATTTGTCAAAGGGAAATGAGTAGTGAGGCTCTTCTTTTTCAACAATACAAGAAGTATATTACAAACATAACTCAAGGTGACTCGTAAAATTTAATAGCATTTTGGCTTTTACTGTCTGACTCAGAAAACTGTGAACACTTAAATAATTTCAGGAATTTTGATTGTGTAATGTCCTATCACAATAACGTTTAGGACAGGCAAACGAATTTGAAAAGCACAAACCACAGGTACCCAAGCTCACTATGAAAGCTCCTACTTAGCTCATTAATTATTCATACGGCAGACGTTGTATGAGAATTATCCAATTTCTCCATAATTGAGCGAAACGTGCATTAAAGTTTTCGAATTAAGCTTGCCTTTTCTATTTCCTTATGTTTATTTGTGTGTTGACTGCTCTTCAGGCCTGATTTAGGATGCCGAGAACCCGAGAACAACACTACCCTTCTAAGCTAATTAATTATTCATACACCAAGACAATTATAAGGCGTTGTATGAGAAATATTCTTTGCTCACTAAATTAATAAAATATGCATTGAACATCGCTTTGAAGTTTAGCTTTAGCGTCTTCTTGTTTTTCTTTGTATTCTGACTGCATTTCAGACCTCCTAGGCACTGTTTAATGCCTTTTTTTGAGCGACAGTTTTTAACCCAGATGACATAACAAAGGTAACTAAAAAATAAGTAAATTGCAGTCACAGATGTTTAAAGAGTAGTACTTTAATTGTTCAGTCTCCTTACGAGGAAAATCACCTTACAACTAAGAAAAACACGCTCGAGTGTTTCCCTTTTTAAATTGAATTTGCCTCCTCGAACAAAAATATTAATTCAAAGGCGGTGGAGCGTTTTGAAACGTGGGGGGCTCATCTTTCAGTCGGCCATAAGCATACTCCTACTCGGGATTTTCCAAAATTCCCTTTGCGTTGTTCGTTGTAACAAACCTCTTTGCAGTCTTCACAGTGCCTATTGGTTGCGTAATCGAGTTTCCACAATGCATCAGTAGGTAAGCAAGTGGCCTATGTCACCAGTATTAGCAAATTTATCTTTGTGTTTTCAGCACCAAAACATGGGGGGCTACGGAGCAGCTGCTCCCCTCTCCTTCCTGATCGTTCGCCCATGAACATTCAGAGGGGCATAGAGAGTCAAAGGTCTGTATTACATAGTTGTCTGTAATATTGGGAATGTCAGAACCTTGGTATCTCTGGAAGCAAGAGTAAAAAGTAGAGCACTGATATTTAAACGAATGCCTCAGAGCACAGTACTGAGCAGGTTAACGATCTACGCAATTTCGCCATTTTCATACATTGTCGGCTTTGGACGGGGCGGGGGGAGGAACTCTGGTGAGCCGCTGAGGGTTTGACACTCTGCGCGTGGCTGGGACAATAAACCCTAAACTTAATACCATGTTTAGGACAGAGGACAAAATACTCGCTGCGTTTTTTGAAGTCATTTGTTGGCCATTGCAATTACTTTTTTATACTTGCAGTACATGTAATATCTCATCCATAATTAAGACAAACAAACACCTTACAATGTTTTTTTAACAAGGTGCAGTAAGTGACATTACACTTCTGCGTTAATTAATACCTATGACCTTTTAGAAAAGTGTGATCGCAGGATGTTGACCAGAATTAAGAACAATGTTAACCATCCATTATATGCCCCTTTCCCGAAAGTCAAAGAGTCATCCAACAGGTTAAGATCACAAGCTAGTCAGTTACAACGGATTAATGCAATAAGGTTAAATTCAACAATATAAATATCCAATGTTTTATCAGGTTTTATATGATAATTGTAAATGATGAGAGGAGGAGGAGTATAAATAATTTTTGCCTGAACTAAGCTTGACCTGCCGTTTTTATTGATGAACGAGTACGTTGTTGTGATCGAAAAGCAGTTTGGTGTAATAGAACAAAAATCTGAAACCAGATTGAGATACCAATCTAAACGATCAAAGTGCGACGGTGGATCGTTCAGATTGCAAAAAATCAAATTTCGGATCGCAAAATCCGGATTTAGATCAGCTTAGATTGATCAAAAGGAACGCAACCAAAAGTACTGGATAGCCTAAAAAGATTTTTCTATGCATTGGTCAATTGGTGCCCCTGAATCGAGTGACAAAGCGTTAGTTGTTCCGCAGGCAGGCTACTTTTTTCCCTCCTAGAGCTAATTTCTGGGGAGCTCGCATATAATGTATCGGTCAAATCGAAGCTTCAACATCCCCCCCGGGCGACCCCCCGGGTATTTGACTTTTTTGAAAATTATTGTTCTAATTCCCCTCTACCCGGGCCAAAATGCCGTTCAAATGCCTCAAACTAACGTCCATTCAGGTGATCAAATGCCCCCACCTCGGGGACATTTCACAGGCACATAAATGACAGAAGGACGGCAGAAACGCCTTCGGTTGTCGAAGAAAATCTTAATAAATACTGCAAATAATTCGCATTCAATATAACAAAAACTGAGAAATACTGTTAGCGTATTTGCTACGAACAAAATCTCGTGCAAAGCGGCGGAAATCGCTGCTACAAGGTCACAAAATGCTCAGCTTTTCTTCATGTGTCATGCAAAATAAAGAGCGTTCTATAAAAAAAACATCCACCTATTGAGATTAAAGGCCTGTTTACATGGAGGTGGGGGACCCCAGGTAGGTGAGGTAACCCGCTTAGGTGGGGTAACCCACCTGTCCATATGATCTCTCATTTTAATTTGATCACGTTTACATGATAGGTGGGG